TGGCTTCTTGATTACTCAATTGCCTCTGGTGTTGCTTACGGACTATGGTGCATGTGATTAAGGGGCATGTAGGTTGTATTCTGTTTTTATATCCGAGTCTGAAACCTGTTTTATTTCTGGATATTGTTAAATTCTACTTTTAATATATATCAATTGTTTAATGATTTTTCGTGCTTTAACATAAATTTTAAATTTTTTCGGGATTTTTATTGTGGGTCGCTCTGGTGGCCCCCTAATGTGACACCTCGGATCGGGTCACCTGCATCGGCCTGTGGGCGTTACATGTTTATTTGTTTGTAATAAGAGGATTATAATTTAAATTTATATTCGAATTCATTATCATAGACAATGCATTATCAATTAGATACCAATTTTGGATTTTGTAAAAATGTTCACATTTTCTCACACATAATCAACTATCAGACCTTTTCAAAATAAATTTATGGTCATACACATATCAATTTTAACTTTTTAAAAGATATTTTCTAAAAACTACTTTTAAAAGGGTATTTTTTAAGTATTCAAGTTGACAGTGACTCCATTTTTAACATTTCACTTAAAGGTCAAATGTCATTATTTTTTCTCAAACTTGAAGACTATTCTGATAGCTTTCAATGAAAACAATGTGCGAAAATAAAAAATAGATGAATACAAGAGCAAGAACAGAAAAAGTAAAAGAAAAAAACTTTTCAACATTGGTTATAGTCTCGTAGATAAAACTAAAATTTATGAAGGTTTAAATTGATATAATCGTAACTGATATTTATGATAAATTAATTACTTTAAATATTTTGTGAAAAATAATTGATAAGTGACCTTGGAGGTCGAGTATATAGATAGGTGGATATCATTACTTTATTTTTTAGATACGTTTTTGGTTGTATTATTTTCTGTCTCTTATTTTAATTAATAAAACAGTAGATTATTTCATTTAAAAAAAGTATTTGTGAAAAAATTACTTATCTAAAAAACTAAAAGATAAAATAGAGCTCACACTTATTTTTAAAAAAGAAAAGAAAAGAAAATTATTACACTATATATATATATATATAATTTATAGATGTCCTGGTTTGGCCCCTTTTATTTAAAAAAAAAAGAGTAGAATACTAAAGTCGTTTCATTAATTATTATTAATTGGGCATCTCGATTCTAAATTTTTTGGATGACGACCTCTAATCAATAGGCAATATACAAATTTATAAATATATAGAGTTAAAAGAATTAAAAGAAGACGTTGGTATATATGGTTGATGTCGGTAGAAAATTAGAATATTAAACATGAAGTCTGTTGTGCAGCTGTATATTAGTGTATGCCATTAATTTAATCACATGGCATTTGGGGCATCATACATTCAAAGACACAGCAAATCTGACAGTCAGAGAACCACATGCATACATGCACGCACGCATGTATGCATGTATAATTAAAATTATTAATTACTATCTAATGAAGGTTCTGACGTCTGAATCCATGCAAAAGGTTTAGAAATTAAACCTTTGTCAAATAGGAATCTTTTTACTACAGTAAATGAGGGAGGGGTAATATATTAATTACTAGGGCTAGGTGATTTGTGATGAATGGTCTCCATGGATGATGGAACATTAGAGCTACAATGTTTCAACAATTTAAGCAATTTGAAAAACCCCAGCAATGCTCAACTGGAAACAAAATTTATCACGTCTCTTTATTTCAGTTCCATTTCAAAACAAAACTCTTTTGAAATAGTATTTTATTTATTACTAATGTCACTCAATAAATTCCTATCCAAAGAATATTTAACATTATTGTTTTTACAATTTTTATAATGTTAATCATATAATTAAATTTGATTGAAACTTTTAGTTATAAAATCAAAACACTCATGGGCTCTAACTTTAGACAAAGAACAGTACTAAAGACTATGTAAATTTAAATTGATATGGTTGTATTTGGGGATTTTTTATTTATTAGGGAATATACATGTTTTCCTTTGTAAAACATTACAAAGTATAATTATAATAAAAATAATTATTATAATACGTAACACAATCAGATTAATAATAAAAATATTATACATAAATATTGTGCAATAAACATGTTAATTTTCCTTTTCTTTTGCTATAATACAAAATTAAGAGAGGGGAATCTTCACCGTCAATAACTAAAACGGTAGTTATTTATACGAATTAAACGATCACAGTAATTAAAGTAATAATTGTTATGAAATTTAGCTAATTGTTAATCAATCTTGATAGAAGAGGAACAAGCTGCTATCTTATTAACATATGATTAATGAAACCGCCTTTAAGATATAACCAATTGAAATTGAAATTTATTCCTTTTTAAATATAAAAATATTATTTATTTCGACCTGATTTATATATACATTTAATTATAACCGTTTAGGTATTTTTAGATGTAGTTAGGGATGAGTATTCAATTGAATCAAGTTGAATAGAGTCAAAAGAATTTAAGTTATTCGAGTTTAGGAGTCGTATTTTATTTCTCCAATTTAATTTGAAATTTTTTGAGTCGAAGTTATGAAATTCGAGTCGAGTTGTTTGAGTTTCTATACAAATTTAATTATAATTATTTATAGTATTATGATATGGATTGGTTTCAAGTTTTGACTTTCTCTAACCATAATATATATGAGATAGGGTCCTGCTACACAATGTAAAACTCTTTTAGTTTTACACAGATTTAGGACCATTAGATGAGTGAAAATAGATGTCTGAGATTAACTGTAGGAAATGAGAAGATATTCACTTGAAAAAAACAAGGAGTTAATCACAGTTATCTATTTTCACTTATTCAAAGGTCCCAAATATGTGTAAAACTAAAAGAGTTTTACATTGTGTAAGTAGTTCCTAACCATATAGACACACACACACATACATATTTTTGTTATAATTTGAGACAAAGATCTGAACATTATCGGAACAATACGCATCAGAAAATTAAAAATTATATTCGAAAAATCTTAGGATCTCATGCATATCATATTAACTACGGTGAACACAAATGTGAGACTATCTTAATCGTTGACTCAACAATCCTTATGTGTTGTCTCTGATTTACTTTCGATCTCCAAAGGTGTTATCTTTCTAAAAAAAATCACCTCACAAGTATTCGCACACTAACAGACAAGGAACGATTATCAGGATACTAGTTCCTCTCTGTTTTCTCAAAACAATATTTTTTTAGTTTTTGATTTGGACCTAAAATAAATATTTAATTTATTCATTAAAAATTTTGACTAAAATGTTGAAATATGATACATTATAATACATGGAAAATATTAATCGAATCATAATAGAAAATATCGTCATAATTCATGCATTATATTTCAATTTTAAGTTCTCATAAGCAATATGAATCAAGTGGGAGAATATCAAAATGATTTACATTATTTGCAGTACATGCAAGTTAGATAATCATATTTGATTAGTGGGTACTATTCATCACAATATAAAATGTTAATGAGAAAATTAAAAGAGAAATTAGGGTGGTGGGGCCTAAACTCAAATACATACAAACATACGTACCGAAAGTAAAAAAAAAAGTGTGGGAATTAGTGGCTTCATTATGCCTAAATGAGTGGTTGGAATCAAAGGTATATATTAATTACTCACTCACCATACACCATACACCATTTCAATTCGAGACCCGTGTCTGAATCCAAAAAATGTCGAGTATTTATTTATATTAATTATATCATTTATTACTATTACGATTTTTTATTTATATATTTCAGTTTATGCATTATTTTTTTAATGAGTAAAATTATAGATAATTGTATATATTCTCATAAATTATAAATAATATATCACAAGCACGTGTTTAAAAACACATTCTATTATTGTATTAGTGATAATTTCGGATTTACTTGATAATTTTTGAATTTATATTTCATAAATTATTAATGTATATCATTGATATTTTTTATATATTAAAAGTTTTAAATAACGTCATATACATGGATCGACCGAGGTAAAGGACGTAATCAGGATTGAATTATGAGAAGGTAAGTTGTTTAACTTTAAAATAAATAAGGTCTAAAAAGTAATTAAACCATAAAATAACAGATTAAGGGTTTAATTTCATTAACTTTAAAATCCAAATGTCTTAAAAAATAATTAAACCGTACAAATATGGAGTTATGGTTTAATTTCATTAATTTGAAAACGAACAGTGTCCTAAAAATAATTATACCAAAATATTTTGGAAGGAGCAAAGGCTTAATTGTGACGGTGTCAAAACTACCAATGACTTAAAAGGTAATTATATCATGAAAGTTTGGAGGACCATTGCCCCTCCACCTATGATATGGTTCCGTCTGTGATGGAGGGAGGCAGTTATGGTAGTTTTTTCCTCCTAAATTTTTAAATTATCTTATATTTTAGATATTTTTGTATTTTTGTTGATAATTTATTTTTGTATCTTAAAATTTTATAATTTTGTCTTTCCTTAAAATTTTAGAAGTTCGCTCTTTTAACATAAAATCTTATATTCGTCTATGATTATGGAGTATTAACATTGTATAAATCCAAATATAACTTTTCCAAAGTATTTTTATGAAATTTGAATTTTGCGTGATATATTAAATTTGATGGGATTTAATTATACATTTTTTGGTTGATAAAACAATATTTTAGTTTTGGAATTTAGGGAATAATGAAGGAGAAGATGAGTTAGAAAGAAGAGCGCATGGGTGTCATATAAAGGTAAGCATGAGTTGTTGAGGGACAAATGCACACGTTAAAGTAAAGTATTATTATTAGTATATAAAAAATCTTCTTTTTATCCTCTAAAAGAAAAGGAGGGAAAGATAGAAAAGAAAGAAAAGAGAAAGGGAGAGTTAATATAAAAGGAATCAAAAGTCCCTTAATTTAACTTATATGTAAGTTTTTTAATGTTGTTTTTTTTATCTTCCTTTTCTCACGGCCTAGGAGAGGAGAGGAAGAAGGGTAGTACCCTATGCTATACCCCCAACCCCCCCCCCCCCCAAAAGAAAAGAACGCTCTACTTACATTACACTGCTCCTCTTCTTCTTCATCTTCCTCTCTCTCAAGTGTCATTTTCTCACATATTCTTCTCTTTTTCAATCTTCAATCTCTGCAACTACTGATCAGCTCCATCGGAAGATAAGCTTAGTTTGAAACCTTTTGGCTGCTTGGATCATCACTTCTTCCTCGTCTCCTTCTCCTCCTTTGTATATTTATATTAGAGACCTAACCTAATACTTTGGTTGATATCATATTTGCTTATTGTTTGTATCTCAAGAATTAAGAATACAACAGCAGCAAGAAAGGGGGAGGGGCCAGAAAGATGGAGCTGTTCCCTGCACAACCAGATTTATCCTTGCAAATCAGTCCACCGAACAGCAAACCCACATCGAGAGCTCTCGACTCGAGGAACTCTTCCATGTCTTCAATGGCGAAACCCGATAACTGCTTTGAGCTCTCTTTCTCCAATCCAAGGGTTTCAGAGACCAACCCCAACCAGTTTCATCACCTTCTCCAAAACGGGAGCGGCACCACCAATTGCAATGGTAATCTTTTCCAGTCTTATCACCAGAACCAATTCCCTCACCATCACAGCCAACTGCAACATCCGGTACTGTATCAACATCAGCAACATCAACAACAAGGGCTAGGACAAGAGTTTGGGTTCTTGAGACCCATAAGGGGAATTCCCGTCTACCAAAACCCTCCTACTCATCCTCCTCCTTTCCCGTTTCCTCAACAGCCCTTGGATTCATCTTTAGTTTCCTCTCCTTATTTGGTTACTAACAAAATTAGTAACACCAGCTTCAACCCCTTTCAGTCTCAAGGATTGATGAGATCAAGATTCATGTCGAGGTTTCCAGCTAAACGAAGCATGAGAGCTCCAAGGATGAGATGGACTACTACACTCCACGCTCGCTTCGTTCATGCTGTTGAGCTATTGGGTGGTCATGAAAGTATGGTCTCTACTATTCACTCCTTTTTCCCCTTCTTTCACCTTTCCTTTGTTTTGATTTCAAGCATCTCTAGGAACAGGGAACAGAAAAAAAAGATGCTATTATGTATATTTCCTCTCTTATATAATATTTATTTTTTCTTGTTGTGACGATTTTAGGAGCTACTCCCAAATCAGTTCTTGAGCTAATGGATGTCAAAGATCTTACCTTAGCACATGTTAAATCCCATCTTCAGGTAAAATAATAGATTTCTATTTTCTACCCTTTCTACCTTCAAGGGTTTTCGTTAAAATGAAAGGAAACATAAATACAAATCTTGAAGGATGCAGTTGAATTTATCTGCAACTTTGGTCTTCTTCTCCTGAGCTTACTTCCTGAAGCTGATGAATAGTGATAGCTTGATGTACAGCGTTAATGGTGGAAGTAAGCTGAGTTTGCAATTTTAAACAGTCAGCATTACCGGAAGATGTTAATAATATAGATTACAAATTCCAATGTTTCCTTGCAGAGGGTCTCCCAAATCCTCAGCACTTCTTTTTCTACTAGATCTGATGATTCTGCAAGCTAATAAACAGCTTTTTGCTTGGAAGAATGAACCATCCCTTGTAAACGAAAAGAATTCAATTAGAGAGAGAGAACAGCAGCAGCAGTAGTAGTAAATTATTATCTTCTTCAAAATAAAAATAAAAAAGAGAAACAAAACCCAAGGTATTCAAAAACCGAGTCAATAGCTAAGCCGAGACAAGTTTCTCACTTAAATTCATTATTTTGTTTTGTTCATAAAAAAGTATTTTCTCTCACAAGTGAGAGAGATATAGAGGAAGAGAGAGAGAGAGAGAGAGATAAAAGTACAAAGACACTATCATTTCTCAATGATATCTTCTTCAGATAGGTTTCTTTTAACCTCCCTTCCTTAACCATGGTTAAACTAAGAGTTATGTTTCTACTGTTTCTCATTTTACAAATGCACACATTTTTATATACAAAGATAAAAAATTTCTATGCTCGGCTACATATTCGTTTCCCTTTCTTTCTTTTTACAGTTCGCACTTGCTTAGTTTGCATGCACTCTTCCACACTGCCTAATGTCTGTGATACACAAAAAAGTTTACTATTAAGTCTACTTTCTGGTTTTTACTTTATTTGTCCATCTTTTTAGCTACTCAAACGGCTAAAGATGAAGGTAATTAAAGTTTATTTACCTTACTCATAATCCTACCCTAATGCTTTCTTTCTTTCTTCATTTTTTCCCCCTCTTAATTTGCCTGCAGATGTATCGAACTGTGAAGACCACTGACAGAGCAGCTGCATCATCAGGTTAGTATACCAATAATTCTTCATCATTCATGTTGAAATATATATATGAATATGGTGTTGAAATTTGGGTTTGATTAAGCAGGGCAATTGGATGCATTTGAAAATGGATCATCTGGGGATACTTCTGAAGATATGATGTTTGACCCTAGAAGATCAGAGATATCATCAGTTCGTCAGGGAAGATCGTCATCATCAAGTGCTCAACAAGACAACCAGGAGTACCATGGACTGTGGAGTAATTCTTCAAGGTTAGTCTGCTGCGTACTACAATACTACTATTAGTAATACTAGTTTGGTTAACCAATCAGTGTGCGCCTGTCCTTTCTGTTTCATTTCTTTCCTTCCCATATACTCATTGGTTGCTCTGAATCTTTTTCAGAAAAAAGAAAATAATAGTGACAATGAAATGATACACTGGGATCGATGTCACAACCACCGCAGAAACATAAAATAGTGGGAACCCTTAGTTTTGTTTTGATTTATCATCTGCATATACATATGCATTTCAAGAAAATGCATGTAGTTATATACTCCAAAACAAGATTTTTAAAAGAGTTAAACGAGTGATATAAGCATTTTTTTGTTTGCTTGAAACTTTTTCGAAAAATATCACAAAGTATGTTTGACTGGAACTGACAACAGTTTGCCTCTTTCATATATATATATATATATATATATATATATATATAAGAATGTTTGCAATAGAATTGGAACTAAAAGATCCCATTTCTTTCTGTCTCTCTCTTGTATAGTTTTAGCTTTATCTAGGCTTTCTTTCTTTCCACTATCACATGCAAATACTTAGTTGTTTACACACAAATGCCAAAACAATTATAATATTACTAGTTATTAAGAATCTCACACGCACATAGTACTAAATTACTGATACGATTATTATGTTTTGATTATAAGTATTACAGATGTTATAACGAAGCTTATTTCTTAAATTTATTATATTATTAAATTACGATTATGATATCACGATAATCTTAAAATCTATTATGATACAATTGTTACTTGCGTTGTGATAGTAATTTAATACTATTCTAACGCACAAAGTGAGATGATAGTGAGTGAGTGTGTGTTAAAAAGGGAAGTAAATTAAATAAAGGCAGTGATCACCTTATCATATTCCAAGACTGGAGAGAATCCAAATTCCGAAATGACAAATCCACCTAAAAAATGGAGATATCTCTTTCCTTATGATTTTGTGGGCTAGGTTTGGGTCCTACAAATGGAAAACTTAGTCTCAAAGCTACAATGTGTGGTGGCCCAATTAGTGGAAATATTTATTGAATATTGGTATTAAAGCTATGCCTTTGAACCTTGTTTGTGGTCTGTTGTTTATGGGTAATGGGAAATCACATGGGTTTCACTTTATTTTCAATCAGCATAAAATGTAAAGTGTGTGTGTGAGAGCAACAACCACGAACGAGACAGTAAAAGATAAATTTCTTTTCTCAGTTTGCTTTTTATTCTGCATGCATGCATGGCTTCCACTCATAGCAAATATTCTCTCTTTCTGTTGGTTTCTAACAGGGAAGCTTGGCTGCATGGCAAACCCAAGGATTCTCCACGGAACTTACCTTCTCTCCAGGTTCTAATTTTCTACTCTTGTATTTCCCAAAATAACCTTCACAATGATCATATAACTCTAAATTATCACGAACCAAGTGAGCTCAGCGGGTAAGGGATGATTGTTATTCCTAGAGGTACAGGGTTCAAGCATGATGTCTGTAAGCGTGTTTGAGTGTTCATTGTCAAATGGTTCAGAGTCACTTGAATATGTACTATCTTATAATCACCCCAAACTAATAAAAAAAATATAACTCTAAGTTATAGCCTTGGGAATGGAGATGTAACAGGGTTACAAATGTTGTTGTTTTGGGTGCAGAAGGGTATATCAGATGTAAGCTCATCAGGGACATGCCCCAAGAAGCTTAATTTGGAGTTCACATTGGGGGTGCCAAATTGATATAATATATTTTTATATCTTAAGGTTTGTAGTGCTGAATTTGAAATGATGATTATATATCTCGGACTGAGAAAAGAGAAGGGAGGGAGGATCTGGTGAAGAGAATCAGGTACCCTTGAGAGAAGAAAAAGAGAGAAGACAAGAAAGACAGAGAGCAAGAAAAGGTGAGAAGAAAAAGCACCACGTCCTTCCTATCAAACCAGCCGTGAGAGATCCAAATCAATATATTATATTCCTACGTAAATATGAAATCTAATTGATTTTGTATGTTTTGCACTTAGTGACAGAGAGAGAGAGAGAAGAAAAAGAAAGAAAAATGATAGAGAAAAAAGAGAGAAGGAGCCCTTAACGATCATAAAAGTATGAACTATATTTGAAGTGATCCTTGATAATTGTAATGGAGCACTTTACATTTCTCTTATAATTTTTAGCTTTTTTCCCCCAAAGGCCGACTCTATGGTCTCTCTTATTCTTTCTTTTTTTAATCATTTTTATATGCTTTTACACTTTGTGAACAAAGGAATAAAAAGCACTGAAAAGGGTTTCAATGTAAAATATAAGCTCACAAGTAATGGTAGTGTATCACTTTAATCAAAATTAATTGGGTAAAACACAAAAGAAAGAGGGAATGGAAAGCTAAAGATTTCAATCCTTTTTCTCCAAAAATCACGTATCATCAAAGTTTATTTAAAAAAATTATCTCTTGAGATCCTGATTCGAACACCGCTTATGCAAGAGTGTAAGTATTCATTGTCAAATGATTGAAAATCTTTGAACAAATATTACATTATATTCACTCTATATTTATAATATAATATATATATATATATATATATATATATATATATATATATAGTCAAAAGCAAAAGTGCCAAAAAAAAATAGAAAACTAAATAAAGAAATCCTTCAAATTCCAGTTAGGTTCATACGGTTGGACTATTTATACAGGCGATAAACTCTTTAGCTTCATTATGCTTATTTTCTCTTTAAAGATGGGAGTCTCGATGTTATCTGGGGTACAACTTTTTTTTCTTCATGTTTTTCCCTGATTTAGTGTTGGGGGTGGGGGGTTGAATGCAATTTATAGAATACGTTTTGAATTTAAGCTGTATCAGATAATGACGAAATTCTACTCGTTTGATGTCTCAATAAAGAATATTAAGAATAAAGCCATACAGACTTTGATGTTTTGTTTTTTCAAAAGAATGATTGAACGTTGAATTTGCCTGTCGATTGCAAATTTGTATGCCTCATTGCCGAGAGGAAGATTCCTTGAAACAAAAGGATAATTATTGATCTTATTCCATATTTTCAGCAGTATTTTTCCCACATAAATAGCCTCTAGCGAATTAGATAATCCTCCATGTTTTGCATGGAGAATCTTTTCAACTTTTAATTCGTCAAACGATCTCATTATTAAAAGAGAGTGTTGTTCTACTTAAATATCTTAAATTCAAGTAATTATGTCTACAAGATGTGTGTTGTCAATTATTGACATTTTTTAAACCCCGCAATACACTCCTTCTATCATAAAAATGGAAGAGAATGACGGGAGAAGAAGGTAGAAAAAGCAATATATATAGAGAAGGAAAAGGAATTTAAGACGAGAACACCTGATCTAGATAGTCTTTTAAAAACAGAAAGATCCCTACCAAAATATTTGTTCTCTAGTCAGATGTTTCCTTCTATAAAGCACAAAATTTCATGCCTTCGGTTGATATATTAGGGCTTCAATAATTTTCAAAATTTGAACAAAGCCTCGTGTTCTAATCTTAACTTTATCACCATATAATAATTACCAAGTATAGCAGAAAAATGGGTCCAATTTTTTGTTGTTCGGTCACAGTCATGGATCAAGGACCGCAACTTCGAAGCATCGAAAAGACTAAAGTGCCTCTGTGATTAATCAAGGACACAATGAAATCACTTTCTTTATCAAGCTAATTTTGTGGACAATAATTAAGGGGTTTTGGGTCAATTTGTGTTCTTTTTCCTGGGGGAGAAAAACAAAACTGATGCGCCCCCTATACCAGTTGGTCCGCAAATGTTGCCAGTAATCATCGGTCTCCTCCAAAGTTTGGCAATCCTAGAACAAGTAAAGGATACAAGATTGGCAGATTGAGATATGCAGGATAAGTTGAAGACAAAAGGGATGTAATATTATTAGGAACCATGGTGGGAATATTTGGTTAATTAGTATACGCATCGAGTTTCATATAGCAAATTATAATACAACTGTCCAAACGACTAGAATTGTAAAATAATGTCATACTTTCCTTTCAACCATTATTCCTTTACCGAAACCCTAGCTTTCATTGCACAACGAAAGCGTTGCAGGATTTTGCCATTTGATAAACAAAGATTATGTTAAATTAAGCAACAATACAACTTTTTTTTCTTGAATATTTCAGAAGCGATTACAAAATAATATCTGTTTAGAATTATATTAAATAATTGACAATGCACACAGGTAATTCATAAAATTTTTGGGAAAAATATTTTTAGCTTGGAACAATATTATCATTATATTTGTGTCTAATTCTAAGCAAGGGTGTTAAAATCTAGGAGAATAAAGAAGGAATAACCTTTATTTTCTTTTCTTTTAATTTGTTGCCTTTGCTGAGGGTTTACACAAAGGTGGGGGTGCTTTGGGAGGTCCTAATGACACACGGGACAGACACTTCCAGGTTCTTTGCCTTTCAAACCCATATATATAGCAGCAAGATGTTAATGGAGCAGACAGGTTACCAAATCAAATTTTAAAAAAGTAATTATTTACAAAAATAAAATCTAAACGAGTACATAAGAATAAAGAGACATAATGGGATTTAACTTTAATCAGACAAGCTATCAGAATCAAATATAAAGTCATGGCCATAAATTCAAAGCAACCAAAAGTTATTAATTGGGAATTTAATTAATTAGTTTTTCAACCTATAAAACATCAATTCATACTATTTTTACCAAATTAATAATAATAAAGTGATTGGTTGTGCTCCCCCACTCACTCACTTTCTACTAATTAATTTCATATTTTATATATTTCCCACCGTTCATATTTTTAAAAAATTTAATGTGAATGATTTAATACATTTATTTTAAAAATGTAAAATATTAATTACCCAGATTTTGTGGACTTGTATTGGGCTTAAATGAACACTAACAAGTCATCATCTACAATATAATTACTACTGATATGGCAGTTAAGATTAATAACTTAAGGGATGGGTAAATTTGCATTTTATAGAGTAAAAAATGGTTTGAGTTTAGATTTATATAGTAAAAAAATTGATTTGATATCGATAAAAGTAAAAACAAAAGCTTTAAATTTCTCGTGCAGCCCAATACGTACCTCTTAGCATGGTATTTGGCTTTATCTTTTGCTTTTTGCATGGACAGGTGAATGACTGAATACCCACTTGCCTGCTTGTCATAATAATTTGTTTATTATATATTTCACGGAGAAAAAAAAGAAAACAGTTTATTACTTGAAACTAAGAAATTTGTCAGTCTTTGCTTTTCAAAGCCATATGGGACAATAAGATACCAGAAAAATGGTCCCTAGCAGACGTGTGCACTGTTCTGTGACTTTTGCCTCCATAATTCCTTTTAAATTGGTTAATTAATTCTTTTCCGGTGACCATCATAATTAAAGGATACAGTACACAAATAGTCACGACTATATTGTTACTTTGTTATATCTTTCTACTATTAAAAATTATAAAATATTTTCTCAATTATTGATAGTTGTCTTTTTGAGTCATCTGATTATTAAAAGTTATAAAATTATTACCTAATTATTCGTATGTTTCAAACTCATCATTTTTCATTAAAAAAATTGACGATTATATAAGATGAATGTTACTCTGTTGACTAAGATATAATAAAATCATATTTTAATAATGTCTACTAACACTGTCGTTACTTTTAAGTATTGACTTGACTTCATAATGTAAACAAAGACTCGATCCATAAAATACATCTCAAACAATTCTAGGCATATCTCAGTAAGCATGTTGACGTTCAGCTGAGACAATTGTCAATTTTTTAACAAAAAAAAAGATAATTTTGGAACATATGAATAGTCATGTGATGGTTTTGTGACTTTAATAGTCGGGGTATTCAACAAAACAACGTCTTATAATAATGGGATAATTTTCAATAGTCATATGACTCAACAAAGCAGCATCTTATAGTCGGGAGACCATTTGTTTAATTTACCTTAAGTTAAATTAAGTTTTTTTATTAATCTAGAATGATTATGGTATAATATATGTTTATAATCTTTTCTAGTCATTGACAACATATACACGCCCTATAAACGCAGTTGTTCGAACCCGAAACATTTAAAAAAATAACATTCCTTTTAACAACTAAGATCATTTAATGAATTCAATTTCAAACTGTTGAAATACACACAAAAAAAACCCTAAGATTTCACCTATTAAATTAAATGTCTCCCAAAGACCAAAGTCTCTGGTAACAACTATACCGTGGTGATTAAGTATAATAATTGAATGCGTGAACACTAGCATTATGGCAAACCCAATACGGCACATGCAACAATTAATTTATAATAAAAGCATGAAGGAAAATGTGTTATTACATGTGTACCTAATCCTTTTAAAAGAAGGAAGGAAACCTTAAATATACAAGTACGTACCCTTTCATTATTATTTTCTACAATTCCCTTTTACTGATATGCTTATACTCCTGAAAAATGTCTCATATTCTTAAACCCCCAACTATCACCATAGGCAGAGTAGTACAGTATTAAGTTTCAAATTTGACCAAGACACCAACACATTCACCACACTATTCGGCCTATTTATTGCGTATAGCGTTAGCAAAGTAGATGAGTGCCCATCCCAATGCCCTAAACAGAAGACCATATTCAAGATTCAAATTAAAAAGGATAAACTATATTAATGGTTTATGATATTTGAGTTTCTCTTTTACTCACTTATGTTTCAAAAGTAATAATTTTTTCATTGATATTACCGATTTGTAACAAATCGATCACTCGTAGTTAACAACCGTTATTGAGATAGCGAAATACTAATGTGACGTGTTAAACTAGTCCTTTGCACCTTTTAACCACGTGATATAGCCATTTTGACCAGGTATTTAACTCTCCTCTATTTTTGACCAGCATTAAACCTATCATCTGCTACCTATTTGTAAGGTTAGTGTAAGGTTGTTTGCACCTTCTTCTCGGTGTTATATTCTCGATGACTGCACTGGTGTTCTATATGCATAATATCAACTTCGCATTCATCGTGCTTGCTATGCTT